AAAATTTTAAAAAGAAATCAAAATTACATCACTTTTATTTCCATGTATTACAGTCATTGTTCGTTTCTATGATAATTATTTTCAATCTTTGTGCACATTTTACAAAGTAAACTTTTTTTTTTAAGATTTGTTTATTTTATTACAAAGTCAGATATACAGAGGAGGAGAGACAGAGAGGAAGATCTTCCGTCTGATGAGTCACTCCCTAAGTGACTGCAACGGCCGGTGCTATGCTGATCCAAAGCCGGGAACCAGGAACCTCTTCAGGTCTTCCACATGGGTGCAGGGTCCCAAGGCTTTGGGCCGTCCTCGACTGCTTTCCCAGGCCACAAGCAGGGAGCTGGATGGGAAGTGGAGCTGCTGGGTTAGAACCGGGCCAATATGGGATCCCAAGGCATTCAAGGCAAGAACTTTAGCCGCTACGCCATGCCGCCGGGCCCACAAAGTAAACTTTTAACAAATGAGTGTGGCTAGGAAAACCTTGCTTACACTCATAGAGAGCCAAAACTACCTGTAGTTCCACACATTCACATTAGTCCTAGAATATGTCTACCACAGATAAGAGGACTTCTGCAGTTATATTATAAACACTTGCACAATGGAAATCTATATGTGGATATATACACTGAATTAAAAGATATCACTAGGGTGTCTCTCTCTCCCTCCTCTTTCGAGAGGCACCCCACCTCCCGGCTTCCTTTCTGGAGGTGTCTTCTCCTTCCCTCTCCCTTCCCTGCTCACCTGGTCCCTTCGCAAATAAACTTTTCTGTCTGCAAAAAAAAAAAAAAAAAAAAAAATCACTATTTGCTAAATAGAATACAAGATGGAAAAGAAGAAAGAAGTAAGAATTATACCATGATTTTATCACCAGAACATACATTAGGATAGAAGTGGCATATGTTGTGATGGGAAGCTGCATAGGACTCATGTTTAAGGATTTAACTGCAGATATGTGAAAATGGAGAGGCCTGGCAGATACCCAAAGGGGTCAAAGCAAATAGTTAAATATTTAGAATATTGAATCCAGGAGACTTATGCAAACTAGAAATTCAGAGTACTCACAACATGTGTTTACAACCATCAGATGATTCACCATAATGTGGTTCATGACTACACAAACAATAAACAAAATGTAGCCATTCAGGAGAATGAAGGGAACTAGTGCTATTGTGTAGCAAACTCAGCAACTGCCTGTGACACCAGCATTCCATGCAGTGCCAATTCATGTCCCAGCTGCTCCACTTCTAGTTCAGCTCCCTATTTATACACCTGAGAAAGCAATGAGAGATTTCCCAAGTGCTTGGGTCCCTTTCACTCATACAGGAGACTCAGAAGAAGCTCCAGGTTTTGGCCTGGCCCGCCTTTGTCATTGCAACTACTCTGGGAGTAAGCCAGCAAGCAAGAGAGCTATCTGTGTCCCCTTGTCTAAATATAACTCAGCCTTTAAATAAGCAAATAGAGCCCTGGGGACAGTGGTCCTGGTGGGACTCAGGTCCCTTGGCCTGAGTCTTTTGACAAGCATGCAGGCAGCCAAGCCAGGTAGCCCGAGGGATGTGGGGGCCTGGCCGGACTCAGGTCAGGTGGCCCAGGTATCAATGGCACCTAGCAAAGTCCTCTGGAGGCCCAGAAGCCTGCTCTGTGGTCTTGGGTGTGTGGTCTTACAGGGAGTCTGGGGGATGGCACAGATGAAATGAGCAGAGACTTGAGGGTTCTTGTTCAGGTGAGGAATGACTACTGAGAGAATTCCATAAACAAGACCACTATACTTACAGATAATCAAGGGGACTAAGAACAAGCAGTTTGGAGGATGCAATGGGAGGACATTTAAAGATCAGCCCGGTGTACTAGCACACACAGGAGAGCTGAGCTGGGCTAGTTAGCATCAACCATCACTGAATATCACTCACTGGCATTCACTAAAGCCAAGGATAGGGACCAGTCTTTAAGTGCTAGATCACAGTATCCACCAGTGAGAGTCAGAACAGGGAACATGTTAGGCTGGGACATGACACTAACCAGCATGTGAGAGATTCACATCTGGGGGCAGAATCTGAAGGTTGTGTGTGGGCTCACCCTTATGAAGCATCAATCTCTGTTGGCACATGCAAGATTCAAGGCTGAGAACAGTCCTGGTTAGAGAGCTAAGGAGACACCCCAGCTGGGATTGAGTTATCACTGGTAGAGCACAAGAGCCAAAATGGGTCAGCAGTCTGGACTTGACATTGTTGCAATCTCCCTCAGCATGGGTGTGGACTAGGCCTGGGGAGCTCAAGACTGAGCCAGACTCCAGTGCTCACTGGTACTCGTGAGAGGTAGGGTGGGTGTAGAATGGGCTGGGCTAGGTCTCGGCTCCCACTGAATCATGTGAGAGCTGTGTCGGTATGTGGGTTAGCTGTAACATCAAAGTAAGAACTGGGATGGGTGTGGGCCAGTTGGGCAAGGACATTGCTCCAGCCAGGACAAGAGGCAGACAAAGTCAATCTGGGCCAAGAACTCATTGGTGCGCATGAGATCTGCCACTGGGAGGAGACCTTATAGAGGAGCTTGGAAAACTCGTTTTTTAAAACAACACAATCCCTGCAGATGAGTCCAACTACCAAGGCAAGGAGAAGCCCAAATCAGGTCAGGTTACAATATCCACTAGCATACATGTGGGTCAGGTATAGGAGCAGGCCAGGCTGAGCCAATGCCACTGATCCACAGTTTTCAGATCCACTGGCAAATCTGAGAACCAGGTCTGGCGTGAGAAGGGCCAGATTGGACCACAACACCAACCAGCTCACATCAGGGTCAGGACTGGGGGCTAGCAGGGCTGGGATAGGCTACAGCTCCCACCAGCAGGAGCTGGAACTGGAAGCTGACTGGATCAAGTCAGGCTGCAGCACCCTCTGGTGGATGCTGAGGAGAAGCAAACCATGCCAGTCTCAGGGCAGTGGGTGCCATGGTCCATGTACTCCAGGAGCAGGGAGTCTGGCAGGGCCTGGGTCACCTGGCTCAACTTGTTGGGACCGCCTGAGCAATGGGTGCCAGGTCTGTGAGCCATGGAAGGAAGGGGTAATGCGGAGCTCAGGTCACCTGCCCAGTTCCTCAGTTCCCCCTGCATGGTAGATTTTGGGTCCATGAACCACAGGGACAGGTGCCAGTGTGGGGTCTGGGGTTCTAACCTGGGTGCTTGGGCCCACCTGCAAAAACTGGTCCTTTTCACTGGAAAAGGCAAAGCAGTGGATGCCAGGCCCTGATGCATATGGAGGATATGGCAGCCCACTGGGGCCAGCAGAGGACATCTGGTACCATAGTAGAGGAAAGAAAACAGAATAAATTGGACAACTACCCCAGCCAAACAATGAAAACAAATATCTGGACAAATGGACTGTAAGGTCAACTGTGTCAACCAATGGACATTGGAATGGTTTTCTCATCCTTGGATTGGCAAGATCTACACTATTTCAGAACTATCAAAACCACCTGGGAAGAACCTTCAGGAACCCTGGGTCAATACCAGGTGCCCGTTCCACAGACCCAGGTAGTGGCACTGTTGGGAGGCTGGGTATGTCTTCTACCCTTATCTCCTCCCTTCCCCCCAGAAACAGGAAGAAGAATTAGAAAATTTGGAAACAATGATCACATCCACTCACCCCTAATCCTTGATCCTTCCCACCCTGATCAACTATGTAAACGTCATCTAAATTAAAAAAAAGAAGATAAAATAAAAATGAGTAAATAAATCTTCTTTTTAAATGAAAATATATCAATATTCTCCTTTAAATAATATCAATTTATTCAATGATACAAAGTTTGAATTTAAAGTGCTAAGTGAAATAAATCAGACATGAAAAAAATCACTTATTGCAGAAATGTATTTGTATGAAATGGGAAACTCATGGGCAGATGCCATCTCCTGCTCACTCAGCTTTCTGTTCAGTGTCTAAGGGAAGGAGTAAAGACAGAGCACTGAAATAAATCCTCTTCCTCCCTGCTCATCCAGCATTTGGCAGGCTCCTAACACAACTTCATCATCCTGAAGAGTTTAGCAAGGTTCAGAACTTCACTATTCAAGGTCAGAGGAGAGCAGCTTAGCTGAAATGGGACAGGGGTCTTGTCCATTGGATAAACCTGGGCAACTTTACATCCTGGGTTGGTTCAACCCTGACACAAGATCAAGGGCTCAATACAGGAAGCACAAGTTATGAAGAGCTGAGGACCCCAGGAAACAGAGGGGCATCCATATAATGTCGCTGTAATGGCACCAGGTCATCAAACAATGTTAATGTGGAGTGGGAATCCCCAGTTCAGAATTCCAGGAAAGATAGTATCATAGAAGATGATCTTGTCTACCCCTGCATGCAATGGGACCCAAAACCAGCAAGACAGCCTCCGTGCTCTGTTTCCATTTGAAGACACCCCTCGGGATGCATGGAAGAGAGCCCAGATCCTTCACACCAAGAACTGCTTGACTCCTTCCTCTTGACCTCTCACAAGGAAAATACACTGCTGTCGGTATTGCAGGTTAGTCAAGCAGGATGACTCATCAATACAGGGCAGACCACCGCAACATCCTTAGCATGGTCATATGTATTCTTAAAGGTCTGATGTGGGAAACCCTACTTCAAACCATTGGAGTATTGATCCTTCATGGAATATGAAGCTTGGAAAAGAGATTTTGGCAGCCTGCTAGGATTCCACCCGATGGAGATGGGTGTGAGCTGGGAACATCATTTTAGTCATGGGATACAAGTGAGCAACAAGATCAGCTCTCAGTTTGGGGTCAAAACGGCTGAGATGCTGAGGGCCAAGAGATAGCTCAAACATTATTTCCCTCAGCATCACTCCATTCTGAGACAAGAGCAAACTATGGCCACTGCTGATGGATTGATCCAATTATGAGTCTAAGGAGCTCATGAGCTGACTGTCCTCTGCTGAACTGTGGGAAGAGGAGTCCCGAAATGTAACTTCACGGGGATTATAAAGGCAGAAATAACCAGGGCAGGGTCACAAAAGTAAGTTCTCATGAAATAACTTTAATCTTAGTTTTTCTTACAGAAATTTTATATATGAGAACAGATACAGGCCTACCTATACAACATAAGTTAACACAATGGAATCTGTAAATTTTTCATCTCACGACAATCCATCAAATCCACAGCAGCCCCAACCAAGGGACATTGGATACACAGCAACACATTTTACTAACAGGCAGACACATCATAGACCAGGGTGAGCTGAAACTGTTTTCCTAAAGTAACTCCTAACTCTGATTACAGCATCATTTTTTAGGAAACAGACATGTGGGAAGGTCCAGGGATAATACCAATTTCACTTCCCATGCAATGGGAGGTGGGTTTGTGCCAACAAGCTAGAGTTGAGGCAGAGTCACCTTAGCAGCCATGACTGCAAAGAAAAAGGGATCTAGTACACACATGTACACACACACACACATACACACACACACACACACACACACACACACACACACATTGCTCAAGAGAGCACTATAAAAGATCAGCAAAGGTATCTTCAGGCCACTCCTTTGAAGGCTCCCAACCGTCTGGGTTCTCTCCATCACCTCCAACTCAGAAACCAGAACCCAGCGCTGCAGCAGTCAGCACCTCTGCCAGGTCTCCATGCCAGTGTTCATGTACCCACCAAGACGCACACCAGTGACCCAGCAGACAGTGAAGATCAGCAATGTTTGAAGTCAGGCAAGTTCTCTGTGGCAAGGCATCTGGAGTCACAACAGGAAAGGAAGAGCCCGCGCCTTGTAGATATGAATATCCTGAGTGCAAATGCAGCTTGAGGATGTAGCAGAGGACGTAACAGGCCCTGTGAGCCTGGGAGTCATGGCCACCAGGCCAGAATAAGGCAGATCAGGACACCTGCTGCTAGACAGGAACTAGAAAAAGCAAAGACCTACAGGCATCAGGCTCAGCATACAGGTGCTCAGAGGGGCCAGGCTCTGCTTCCTCCACTCAGATGATCTTCATGAGCTGGCCTGTGTTGTGGACCTTACTGTAGATGGTCATGACAGATTCTTTCTCTTCCAGATGTTGTTCATCTCTACCCTGGGGATGCAAGGCAGAGGGTAAGTGGAAGGGCTGGGGAACAGAGAGGTCCTGAGCAACCTGCCCTGGAACAGTACCCTGGAACTCATGCTGCTTGTGATTATTTTTTCCAAGCACTAGGCACCCTAGTGACAGTTGCAAATTTTTCTTTTTTAAAACTGTTTGTTACTAAACACTGAGACAAACAGCAGGTGCCTGGTCTGGGAAAGCCCAGGGTTAAGCCATGAGAGGCTCGTGAGTGTCCTCTCAGATCACTACCCCCAGCTCTCACCTTCTCGCCTCCCTGGGTCTCCTGCTGCGCCAACTGTGCATAGTCAATGTCATCATCATCAGCCCCGTGGTCTTCTTTCAGGGCAGCACCTGAGTCATACATAGACTGAAGGTTGGTTTTGGGCCTGAGAGACTGTAACCTTTCCCATTCTTGAAGCCCAAGTGCATGGGAAACCACACCCTCTGCTCTGCAGGGCCCACTCCACCACAACACCATGATGATGTAGAACCTTCAGTGCAAAAGGGAAGAAATCTGGACATGCAAGGAGAAGGGAAACTTGCCTCCTTCAGTCTCTTTCTCCTTTGTGTTCTTTTTCTGCTTCCCACGTTTCCTCCAAAGGAATATTCCAGCACCCAGGAGCAGCACAACCAGAAGAGGCACCACGATGACTCTCATGATGTTATCCTGTCTGTGTGACTCTGTTTCTCTCACATGGAGAGAGTAAAGGAAGGATGAGACAGGAGAAAAGTTGAGGTAACTATTGCCGGGGGAGATGAAGAGGGAAAGCAGGTGGAGAAGTTGGGAGAGGGCTGCTGGTTCAGAATTTGGGTGGAGGAGCATAGCAGAGACATTCACCAATCACCAAGATCCTGCCTGGTGACAGAAGCTGAGATGCACAAAGCTGGGGTCATCCTGGGTGAAACTCATCACCAGAGAGGGAAAGCTGAGAAAACACTGACAGGGCCCAGACAGGGTGTGACTGCAACACAGGTGAGTGTGTTTAGGTTTTTGTATGTTTGCTTCTTTTTCAGAGACAAGCAGTTTCCATGTGTTGGATCACTGGCTTCTCCACTTCCCATTCAACTCCCTGCTAATGGCTTGGGAATGCAATGGAGGATGTCCCAAAGTACTGGGACCCTGCACCCACATGAGAGACCCAGGAGCAGCTCCTGGTTCTTGGCTTCAGATCAACTCAGCTCTGGCCTTTGCAGCCATTTAGGAAATAAACCAACAGACAGAAGATCTTTCTCTCTTTTTCTCCATAAATCTGATCTGCTTTTATAAAAACCATAAATAAATCTTAAAAACAAAAAAAGAGAGAAATGTTAGTGCCATTGTGGTGACTGAAAAAGCTAATTCTCCACCTGTAGTGTCAGCATCTCATAGGGCAATGGTTCATGTCCCAGCTTCTCCACTTCTCATGCTTCTCCTTTCTTATGATCTATGAAAGCAGCAGAGGATGGCCCAAGCCCTTGGGACCCTTAAGAGAACCAAAGAGACTCCTAGTCTTGCTTTAGGTCGTTTCAGCTCTGACCATTGCACCCATGTGTGGAGTGATCCAGTGGATGGAAGATCTCTAGCTCTCCTTCTCTCTGTAAATCTTTCAAATAAAAATAAATATTTTTAAAGACTTTTAAAAAGAGAAAAGATATTCAAAGCAGAAAAGACATGACCCCTTTCCTTAAGCTATTCAGATCCACAGGAAAATCAAATTCATAAATGGATTATTACTACTTCTGGGTTGACCCTGTGCAGCTCCTAATAAGAAATGCTACCTTGAGTCTGGGAGGGATCCAGGCCTTGGGGTTGGGAACAGCTTGCAGCTCCCTGCAGTGTGGCAGCTGTGGAGGGTGCCCCTGCTGGGCCAGATCCAAGGCTGGGGACTCAGGCCAAAGCCACTGCCAAAAGCCAGTGACTGAGTCCTTAACTTTCTCCAGGTCCAAGAGGTGCCAGGACCAGCCTGCTGGCTGCCCATCAGCAAGCCCTAGGGTTTTTAGGATATGAAATTGCTGCTTAGGGACACCCATGAATAAGGCCAGCTTTAGTGTAGGTGAGAAATGAATTCTAGGTGATTCCCAGTAACAGAGTCATGAAATTTTCAGCAAGCGTGGGGGCTGAAACCTGATGGTTTGGGTGGGAGTGTCCATAAGATCTATTTGGGCCAGCAAAATTAGGAATCCCGAGATGGGCTGTTAGCATTGAGCATCACTGATGCCACACACCAGTCTACACCAAAGTTATGGATGGAGGCCTCTCTGGCTGGACTAGGAACCATTACTTGATTGGGTGGTAAAATAGTGGACTGGTCACATTTGGCAGAGTCAAGACACTAACCAGCATGTGAGAGAACTTGGTCCAGGGATAGACTCTGTGGGGGAAGTGTGGGCCCAACCCTGTGGAAATACAAGTCCTACAGGTTAGCTCGCGAGCTGGGGTCGCAATGGGCTAAGCTAGGAGTGATCATGGAACCTACCATCACTTACAGGTAAAGGAACCGATGGTAATCTGGATAGATTAAGTAAGGCAGCAACACCTGAAGGTGCATCCTAAAATAGGATGTGGAGTGGGCTGAGCTGCAACTGGAAGGGGGCAGATCAGGCAGGGTCAGGCAAACTTCAACTCACAAAAAAAGGAAAGAAACCAGGATGCAGCACATGTCATTCTGACCTAGACTCTTATCCCAAATGGTCTTCATGAGGCTGAGATACTTCGGCACAGCACCGAAGGCAAAGGCTGAGACAGGTGAGGGGCTAAGCCAACTGGGTCAGAGCACCCACTGGCACGCACGCAATCTAGGGTTGGGAATAGATTCGGTTGGGGAACTGTGAGAGAGTACACCCTTGCTGGGTTGGGATTCCCACAGGAGGGTGCAGGGGCCAGAGTAAGGGCTGTGTTTTGGTCTAGACATGGCTGCAATCTCTCTAGGCACAATTGTGGACTGGGGCTAGGCACACCAAACTGGGCTAGTTTGGTGCACCAGCACCATCTGGCACTCTGGGGCCCTGGGTAGATGTAGGACGTATTAGGCTGGGTCTATGCCCCTACTGAGCCATGTGTGAGCAGTGTCTGGGTATGGACAAGCCTTGGCTGGGGTGAAACAGCCAACACCAAGAACTGGAATGGATTGAAGGCCAGCAATGAGGGCTGGTCCATGGAACCACCAGTATGCGCAAGACCTGGCATATGGAGAGGTTCTGATGGAGGAGCTTGGGAAACTCCTCTGTTGGAACACAGCCCCTACAGGTGAGCACAAGAACACAATATGGCACAACCCAGACAAGGCCAAAGGAAGATACCCAGCATCATACATATGGCATAGGTGGGGGGTCAGACCAGGCTGAACCTGCTCACATCAACTAATGGCGAATCCAAGCACCAGCATAGAGTGTGGGTCAAGCCAGATTCGGTTGCAACACATACCAGTGCACATTGTGGAAAGCCAAGGTGAGGTGAGTCGTACCAGATGTGATGGCAGCACCCAAAGAGCACACGTGAGAACCCAGGGGGAGGAGGCAAAGCCGGGAATGTGGGCTCCGCTGCTGGACAACCACTCCCACTGGAGAGCATGAGTTGGAATGGGTGCAGACCAGACCAGGCAGGGTCACATGGGCCTCATGTGAGCTAGATTGGGGAAGGGGCAGATCAGGCTGACTGTTCCAACTGGTGCAAGCAAAAACTAGAGTGGGTGAGGGTTGGTTGGGCTTTGCCACGTCATCAGATGGCAGAGGCTGGCACTGGGGACTAATTCTGTTAAGTTAAATGCCAGAACCACCTGGAGAGTGCATAATCCAGAAGTTGGAGTGGCCTAGTAGGAAGATAGTGGGCACTTCCCTCATGGCTAACCACTCCCACTCGAGAGCATGAAAACCAGGACAGGGGCTTGGGGTGGCTAGACAGAAAGGCACCTGCTAGTATGTGTGTGGGCTGGATAGTAGGTTGGTTGGGTTGAACTAGGCTTCAATGTGCATTGACAAGTACAAGAGCTAAATGGGATGTGGGACAGACAGAACAAGCCTGCAGTACATACTGGCATAATGGCATGACTGCTCCAGGTTAGGGAGCAGGCCTGGTGGGGGTTATGGGGAGTCGCCCCAACTAGTCTGCAGCTCCAACTGGTTTGCATGAGAACCAGGTATGAAGTGGGTAGGATCTAGCTGGACTACAACAACCATTGGTTCAAGTGGAGGACAGGGCTGGAAATAGAACTAACCCAGCAACTGCAACAACCAGCATGTGCATAAGATGATTGGAGCAACGGACTATGCCAGACACTGTCCTGGAAAGAATCAGATTTGGATCATCTCAGATGAAGTTTCTTTGGAGATCCCTCCAACTGAACTGCTGATCTCAGAACCCCAACCATGAAGAGACTATGTCAGCCAGTGGATTCTGAATAGGTTTCATCGCGATTGGACCTGTGAGATTGGCAGCAATCCAGAACTGTTGAACTATCAAAACTGCTTGAGCAGGACCCTTGGAGCGTGCCTCACATCGGGGACCTGGGATGGGTGGGAGGCTAAGTGGGGCTTTTCCCTTTGTTTCTCCCCTGGCCCCAGATACAAGGGAAAAAATGATATTAGTGTAGAAGCAATGGTATAACCCACTTTCCTGTAGCCCTAGACTCTTTATACCCTTATCAACTATGTAAGATAATTTTTTAAAAATAAATAAATTATTTTGGGAGGGGTGGGGGGAATCCCCAGTGCCTATAAAATTGTATCACATAATACAATGTTAATAACAATTTAAAAAAAGAAAGAAAAAAAAAAGAAGTGCTTCCTTAAAAACTCACCATAGCAGGACACTCTCAGAGAATTACAGCAAGCAGTTCCGGGTGAAGTGTGTAAGTGAGATCAACAAAACAGACAGTGGAGCATCTGACACAGAACAATTTTTTTTTTCAAGACAACTTGTATCCACAAGGTAAAAAGGCCTGGGGGAGAGACACTCTGACTGGCCTCCATGGATGAGAGAATTTTAAAAGCTAAAGCCAGTTGGATGTTCCACACTTCTGGGACAAGTATAAAAGTAGAGATGGTGTCCTTGGCATGACAACGAGAAAAGGATGAAACCCTCAGACCCCAGGGCCCACTTGTTACACTCACTTTGGATACAGATATCACCAAGCTCTAAGGTGGCATTCTTCTGGTCCACCGGGTTGCTGACCACACAGCTCAGGCTGGCATTGGGCTGACTCATAGGGAGACTCACATCCAGGGTCCAGGAGATGGGGGCTCGTCCCAGTGTCCCTCCACACTTCAGCTCCTCATTCAGGCCTGTGCTCTCCCAGGTCACATTCAGGTCCTCCATGGCTTCTGTCACCCTGCACTCCAGGGTGACATTGCACCAGCCTGACATTAAGGATGTTGAACTGGCCATGAGGTGAGGAGCAGGCACTGGCTCTGGGGCAGAGGGAGACAGAAGCATGGGGTCTCAGCACGTGGAGTCATCATGGGCCACGTATTCTCACCATGATCTCACTGAAGCCCAGACACTGCCCTGTGAGGAAGACAGTAGCATGTCACAGAAAAGTTTTCATGCCTGGTGCAGTGGCCTAGCAGCTAAAGTCCTCACCTTACACGCACCAGGATCCCAGATGGGCACCAGTTCTAATCCCAGCAGCCCCACTTCCCTTCCAGCTCCATGCTTGTGACCTGGGAAAGCAGTTGAGCACAACCCAAAGTCTTGAGACCCTGGATCATGTGGGAGGCCTGGAAGAAGCTCCTGGCTCCTGGCTTCAGATCAGCTCAGCTCCAGCCATTGCGGTCACTTAGAGAGTGAAGTATCAGATGGAAGATCTTCCTCTCTGTCTCTCTGTATATCTGACTTTCTAATGAAAATAAATAAATATTTTTTAAAAGAACACACACAGTTTCCCCAAAGCTAAATATTTAACAAATGACATCAGGGACAGTAGTTACTGAGTTCACACCCAGATCTCATAGAAGTAAGTAAGTCCTAAAACTTTTCCCAGAATACAGTACAGACTAGATTCCACCTTCAAGGGCCCATGATTTCTAGGAGAGTGTAGTCACTCCAAGAATGAAGAGGCTTCTTGCGGCAGAAACTGTCATTATACCTGGGAAAGCACAGTCCTTCTGAGAGAGGACAAAAGTGCAGGATTGGTAGGCCAAGCCCAGTCATCTCCCATTTGTAGGTGATCCAGTGGTGGTGTGATGCATTTGATGACAGATCAAAACTAGGACAGAACATGCAGCTGAGCTTGTGGTACGGACAGGAAGAGAAGGAGGAAATTCTCAAGCCCCTCTTAAAAATATTGTGGGATCCAAATTGCCATCTCAGCTACTGCCACTGTGGCAGGATATTTCACAATGAGGAGAGGATTTGACAGAAAAAAAAAAAAAAAAGGTGAATACTAGGTTCTTAGGACATATTCCAATGTGAACTTCCTCCTATGCCAGTCAAGGCTTTGAGAGCTGAGTTTCTGGAGTGAGTTGTAAGTGAGTTGTGAGCTGGGCTGAGGGAAGGAGAGGGGACAGGTAGATCTTACATACGTGTGGACTCTATATGTGATAGTAGCACAGCGGGCTGAGCAACGTTCAAGTCATCCTTCTCAGAATATGTGAAGATGTAAGGTTTATGGCAAAGGTAGTAAATAAGGAGGTTGCCAACATGACATACAAGGTTAGAAAAAGAACATTTCAAAGAATGCAAAATGAAATCTGACCCATTCTTGCTGTTTTACATAAAGAAAGGGACAATGCACCAAGTAGCAGCCTATAGCACAGGGAGAAAGACCAGAAAGAAATTCTCATTCTCAGCCCTACATCACATAGGTATAATACATCTCTACTGTATTAAAACACAATGTTTATAATTTCTAAAAACATTTTTTTAAAAAAATGCAGAAACAAAGTAACCATACACTACAAAGAAATTGTTACTGTTTCAAAATCCCATTTGCATCATAAAACACTAGGATGATTTTCCCCAAGTATGGATCTCTGCTCTGCTGTCTGCAGGTGGTGACACACTCTGTGTTCAGAGAGGCAAACATACACTCACAGCACCATCTGATGAAATCTGCACAGCAGGCCTAGGACAGCAAACCTGGACCAACAGCAAGAACTATGCCAGGACACACTCAGAGCTGTCACTTACCATAGACAGAGAGGTAGAAAACCTGATTATATGATAATCCTCCTGTGTGCATGGCCTGAACCCGGTACTGCCCACTGTCTTGGGGGATCAAACTCTCAATCATAAGGGATGTCATGTTGGGTACATGGACTCTCCCTTTGAACTTGTCCTGAAGGCCAAGCCATTTGGGAGAGTCTGGCCCACTGTTGACTCGCAGGAAGTTTGTGTATGCTGACTCAGATCCAATGCCCCACGTGATCTCCTCCAGAATCTCTCCTGACTTCAGGATCGCAGGGAACCATACAGAATCTCCTCGCATCCGCTTCACAGCAGGGTGCACGCCACCAGGATCCGTAACCCCAGAGCCTTGAGCTTCAGGACTGTTGGCCAAGGTGTGGCTGATGCCTAGGAAATTGGAACGAGGAAATGAGAGCATTTTCTCAGCAAGAACACATGAAGGAAGCAAACATTTCCTTTTTAGTCAAAATCATCCAAAAGTCCTTTATTTTATGGAACCAACCTCGTGCAATACATTGGAAGAGAATCTGAAGCCAAGAGCTTGTCCCAAAGGAGTGTACCGTTGAACAGGTGCCATCCCCTTGTCACCTTCAGTATCCTTCCCAACATGATAGTGGGAACTGCATCAGGTCATGGATGCAGATTTCCCAGCACACACTGAGTTAGTCACTGCAGAACTCCACTTCTGAAGGAGCCTCAGGATCCTTCACTACTCACAGACACACTTGGATATAATCCACTTCCTGGAGAGTGGCTGCATGGAGGGAGGTGAGAATATAACAAATGGGACTGCAGGGTGCAATACTGTGACTTTGTGTCTCTCTTGTACTCTCTTTCTCCTTTTGGTTCTGAGGAGCAGCTGCCGTGCTGGGAGCTGACCTAGCATTTTGTCCATGTGGCCAGGGACTGAAGGCAGCTTCAGACCAACAGCTGGTGATGAACTGATGGATGCCCTGTGTTATATGCTGTCACAATAAAGTCTGGGGGCAAGCATGGCTACTGAACTTAGCTGCTTACTGAATGTAAGACTCAGAGAAGCAGCTTGCTCTTCCCATGAGAGAAAGAGCACAACTGGACTTGCTGAGAGACAAGTTTACAAACCCCTTCTTGGAAGACACCATTCCTGAAGGACTCTCATAGGTGACTAAGGGTCTCTCTGCAAATCGATTGCAGATCAAGATCAAGTTCTCACACATTGGGGAAAGCAATAACATTTGTCAGAGGTCTTGTTTTCTTTCCTTAATCACTTTCCTTCCTATTATTCCAACTTAAGTGCATGTGGAGATAACATTGTACAATGTGACTTACTCTATTATTAAACAATGCTGTAGACACAGAAAGGCCTACATTTTTCCTATCCTAAGACTGTCACCTTGTAAGGATCCAGCCTTTTGATCTGGCCAGGCTCATTGCTTACTCAGCATGTCCTGGTGACAAGTGCTCTCTGATCTAATATTTCACCTAAAGTCTCTGCAAACTCAACTTAGTATTTGGACCCTAAAGCAAACATGACAGTGATGGCAGCATTCCCTGGCTCTCAAAATCAGTAGAGCTTATGGTTTCTTCTTACAGTAGTGATTACATCTATTGCTTCATTTCCACATGCACAGGAAGATCAAATCTTACATATCTGTTCAATGTGGTATGTGCTCCTGGCTGAGACAGACCATCTCTCAGTTTCTCCTCTCTGCTTTCTCCACATCCATTTTATCTGCCCCTGTTTCCCAAGGTTCTTTTTTTAAATTATTATTTTGTTTCGATAATCTTTATATAGTTGATTTGAGCACAAAGAGTCAAGGGCTACAGGAGAGTAGGTAAGACCATTGCTTCTACATTCCCTCTCTTTTTTTTTTTTTTTTTGTCCTGTATCTGGGGTAAAAGGAGAGATAAAGTGAGAAGTCCCACCCAGCCTCCCACCCCTCCTAAGGTCCCCAATGTGGGGACCCTCTGGGGGTGTTGCTCAAGAGGTTCAGCAGTTCTGAATTGCTTCCAATCTCATAATTCAAGGCACAGTGAAATCTCGCCAGAATCCACTGGCTGACACTGTCCACCTTAGAGTCTCTGCCCAGATTTTCACTGCCAACACATGGCTGGAGCAGTTGATTGATTTGTTCTGTCCTCCATCCTCTGTTGTGATAACAGGTGTCCTCTGCAGGTTCCGATGAACTGCCATATCCTCCATGTGCACCTGGATATGCTATCCACTGCTCCATCCTGAGTCTCTGAAAAGGCCCAGCTTTAACACATGGACTCCATGGTCAGACCATGGAATCTGTACTTCTCTTCATGGTTGGGGCTCTGAGATCAGCAGTTCAGTTGGAGGGATCCTCAAAGAAACTTCATCTGACATGATTCCAAACCTGATTCCTATGTGTGCATTCCTGTACAGAGTTTAGAACAGTGCATCATCCCAATCAGCTTATGCCTATGATAGTAGTTACAATTGCTGGATCAGTTCTGTTTCCAGCCCTGTCTTCTACACAAACCCATGAGTGTTGCAATTCAGCCTGATCCTGCTCACCACACACTTGACCCTCACATAAACCAGTGGGAGTTGCAGCATAGTCGGAGTGACCCCAATAACCCCACCCCCAGGCCTGCCCCCTGCCCTGGTTCCTTGCTTGCCAGTATGTGTGGCAAAATCCCCTAGGTCCCTTCTGAAGCAAGATGGTGGCAGCCAAGGTCCACCTTGTTCCCAAGAGATCCCCTCCCAGCGTACTCATCACAAAGGGAGAAACTTCTTGGGCCCAGGCAAGCCCTGAACTCTCTCACCATGTGGCAACAGTGGCTATAGCCAGGGTCCCAAAAATTGAGTCCAACCTGGCTAGGGTATCCCAGCAGCCACCAGGCTGCTAGAAGTTCTCTCCACCAAGGCCCCGAGGTCAAACTCCCCAAAGTTCTTTGGTCTATGTTTTCAACCCCCTGTTTCCTTCCATGTTTTCAATATGTTGGTCAATGTGTGGGTGCAGAGCTCTGACCTTGGGGAGGCTGCTTCTCCACTTATAAAGTAATGATTCGTGGCATACAAGTTACAGAATCTTGCTGAAAACCACCTAGAAACCACACTCCAAGGAAATAAGAAATGGCTCCCAAGCAAATTATACATGTGGTTTTATTGTTGCTGTTGTTGCTCTGTCAATCATCAAATCTTCATGGAAAAAAAAAAAACACCAAAATAGGAGACCATATTGTAGATGTTTTGAATTAGTCCTTGTTGAATAATCTCAGTAGAGTCAGTAGAATTATTTGACTTAGGATAAGAACTTCTGGGAAAAAGCACCAGGAAGAGCTGTCTGCCTTAAAAGGAACAGCCTTCAGTGAGTGTGGTTTCCACCGTAGGCTGGCCCAGCATGCCAGAACACAGGCACTAAGATCCTGGCTCCACATTGGGGTCAGCGTCCATCAGCCTGGACACTTCACATCCAGAAGACAAGACTGTGGGCCTTGAACTAGCTGTTTCATTCTGTTGTCGCTGCTTTATTTGTTTGTTTTTACTTCATGTATTTATGCAGTGAACAAATTCCATATATATATGGCAATACACATTTAGGACTTTACTTCCCACCCCTGCCTCCCTCCTGCCCACATTCCCCACCCAACCTCTCCCTTCCTATCTCTTCTTTTCTCTAGTTTTTACATCAGTCCGGTTTCATTTCATTCCACAAACCCATGTTAAACACAATATTAGGCAAATATATAAAGATAACAATACATTAGCCATTTCTTTTTAAGTTATCTCTTTCCTCCTCACTTTGTAATCCTGAAACCAAAGGCATAGTGATGGTTCCCAAGCCCAGAGCACCTGACTAGCTCTGGCACTGCCCAGCCCAGAACTCAGGGTGGGTTTGCTTCTTACGCTCCTGCGGAATCAATAGCAATGTGTTCAGTCCACAATGTGTCCAGTCTCCCCTGCATCCTTGGTCCCCTGCTGTCCTCAGGAATTTAGGTCCCCAAAATTTCCCCCTGACAGCACACTCGACTCAGCCTGCTTTGATCTGAGGACCCCAGGGCTGGAGCTGCACTTCAGGGCACAGGAGAAGAAGCAGCACCCAGGAAAGAGAAAGGGCACCCCATCCCATGCGCTATTTAACCAGAGACAGATATTTCAGCATTTCCCAGTGAAATACACACTGAAGAAGGACACAAATTGCATGAGCAGCTTGAAAGGAAGCCTAAGACCACCAGGCCCACCCTCCCCTGCGTCCAGCCCCACCCCAGGATGAGCTGCTGGGAGCCGAGCCTATCCACCCCTCCCCTCCACACCAGAGGCACCTCTCCCAGCTCACACACCACACAGCTGCAGAGACCACGGGTGGCAGGTTTGGGAATTTCAGGGTACAAGGAGAAGTGGCTAGTTAAAGTAGAGAACACTTGACATTAGTGGGACAGAATGAGTAGGGGAAAGAGAGAGTAGGACTGAGCTCCCTGGACAGAGAGCTGGGAGTTGATGCCAGAGTACATGCTGTCTGAGCAGCAGGCAGGGTGACTTCTTAAGCACCTTGCTGGGGAGATGCAGAGTACCTCCTGGACCCTGAGAAGGTGGGTAGGGGTTGTGCAGTGGGGAAGTGCACAGTGCATTGTCTTGGCTGTTTGGAATGTCTCCGATGTGGGACTTTCCAGATCTATCAACATTCCAACATTCCACTAGCCTCTAGATTAACTAGCTCCACACAGTTGTATCAGGCCTGGGAGTTCAGGCCCAGAGTTCCAACAGCAGGGACCCAATGAGCTCCAACCAGGGCATCCTCCACACCCCCTCTTCCCCAAAGACACCTTTCCCAGCTCGTGTCTGTTCCTCCATCCAGGTGGTTCAGCCTCTTCCTGGGAAGAGAGCACAAGGAGGCCCCAGACCCTGAGAAGGGTCCCCTTCAGTGTTCCCAGGCTCCCCCGACAACAAATGCTGTCTCCTTTTTTCCCATTTCTGCCTACCCATGCCCTAAACAAACGTAGAACATCTCTGAGTCGGAATTCCATGGTTTTCTCTTTTTGTGCCCCAGAGTACAGGTCCCGAGAGCCCTGCAGGACACAAGACCCCTGCCAACCCAACCCTCCCAACCTCCCTCCCTTTCAGGGAGCCCAGCACTCACGGAGAAGGAGGCTGAGACACACCAGGAACCCCGAGGCCCAGCGGAGAACAGGGGTTCCTAAGCAGCACCCCATAGCAGCTCCTGCCGGCTGCACAGCTGCAGAGGAAGCATCGGAGAGGGAAGAGACAAAAAGAGGAAAAGCTGTGCTCACAGAGCCCATCTGATCTTCCCCAGCCCAGGGGCGGAGCTCAGCAGGGTGGAGTGACAGACCCTTAGGCAATCGCCAGGCTTCAGAAAACAAAGGCAGATGTGCAAAGATCTGAGCCCACCACGTTCTGACCTCTCATACCGGACCTCTCTACAGACTCAGCACATAAGTCATTCTCACACACATAGCCACCACCCTTACGCCCACACTTACCTGCCTCCAGGGCTGACCAGCACCAGCCTCCGCTATAGGACACAAGGATCCTGCTCAGGTCTTCTCTGGAGTCTCCCTCCTTTCAACAGGTCACATTTCTCTCCTGATTTCTAAATTTTCAACCATCAGTTGCCTGAGTAAGAAGCCAGGAGGAGTGGGCCTGGTGGCAGCAGTTGATGCAATGACAAATGCATCCCAGCCTGTTCAGAACCAGCTGCTCCTCTGCAGAGCCAGCTCTCAGCCAATGCATCCCGGAAGGGAGCAGCTGCATTGCTCAAGCATCTAGACCCCCAATATCTATCCAGGAAACCCAGGGAGTTTACTGAAGTTCCTGGTTCCACCTGGCTGAGTCCTGACCTTTGCAGGAATTTTAGGGCAAGCCAGTAAATGAATGATATATCTCTCTCTTTCTCTCTCTGTACGTGTGTGTCTGTCTCCTCTTTCCACGTTGCTTTGCCTATGACAAAAACAAATAACACAAAATTACCAACCTCCTGTTCTTTAAACAATATGAGAAAACAATATGATAGAGAGGGCTGACTCCCCACACCCCAATTCAAATATTGACCTTCTTTGCCTGCTGACAGCAGCCATCTGGCCTTTAGAGCTCTATTTAACACGTGACTTTCTTTCCACAAGCTCAGAGCAATGACCCCCACAGAAGCCTGTCCTGCCCTGCATCTGGGGGAGGGGTGGACACCTGCACACTCCTCCTGCCCCACATTACACCCCTGGTATACACAGGGCACTGGGGACCTGCACACTCATCCTGCCCCACAGCCTCACCTCCCTAAAATCATCACCACCTCCAGACTTAGATACATCTGAGGGTTCCTCCTCTCACCACCCTGACATTTCCAAAAGTCCAGCCAACCTGGCAAAAAGACAACACAGTAAAAGCACATGCACGTCCCCTCAAAACTGCAAGAACTGTTTTCTACACCACTCCCTGGTGCTGGTCCTACTGCGGAAGTAGAGGAAGCTAGCAGCAGAGGGGGCACATCTCCAAGTGCCAGTTAGGAGGAGACATGTCAGGGTCAGAGAGGTGGTGGGTTCTGGAAGAACAAGAGACCAGGAAGTAAGCACACGAGAAGAAGCACTCAGGAACTGACAGCACTTGCAGGGAAGGCTTTGGAGCTCTACGGGACATCATGGGTGACCATGTTCATTTTGTTTAAAAGCAAAAGATTGGAATGCCCCAACTGAGACTTGGGATGAAGAATTATTTTACTGAATATCTACTAGGCCCCAGAGGTTTCATAACGCTACTTCAGTAATGCACAACCCACATTAAATTCAATCCTCAAAGTTGTCCATTAAGCATCCTAGTACCTCGTTTTCACAGGAGCATCTTCCATCTAATAATTTGCCCACAGTCCCAATCTCCAACAGCCATTAGAATCACAAGAAGCATCAGCTGGAGCCCAGCTACAGACCTATCCCCAGCGGGAAAGTAGATTCAGAAAAACTCAGGTCAGACGTATGAGACCCAGGAGAAGACAGGAAGGTGCTGACCTAAGAGAGATGAAGTAGCAGCCTGAGATCTGGAAATCTGCTGCCTGGCAGTTACCAGCAAAGATCCCTGTCAAACCTACTCCCAGGGAACTGTCATGATTTACACTCAGCCATAAACAGCCTTATCTGTGGGCCAGCCTGGGGCTCACCCAAAAGGAGGAACAACTGACCCAGTCTAACTTATCATCAATGACAGGTCATTAACTAACATCGTGACTGAGGCAGTATATAACACTGAATGTAAACAGTAACCTAATTAAAACCAGAGTCAAGAGTGAAGAGAGCCACCTGCAGGGTAAATTCTGGGTTCATGAGCCCTGGAAATGGGGGATCTGTTGGGTCTCAGATCACCTGGCCCATGTCTCTTGGACTCACTCTCAAGAATATGCCCTACTCAGTAAAAAAAAAAAAAAAAGGTGGAGCAGTGGATGCAGACCCTGATGCACATGGAGAATATGGCAGCCCATTTGGTGCCACAGCAGAAGAAAGAACAGAGCAAATTGGACAACTACTTCATTCAGACAATGACAGCAAAAATCTGGATGAATAGAGACTTGAGGTTCACTATATCAGCCAATGGACATTGGAAGGGCTACATCATCCTTGGATCCGTTAAGTCAACAGCATTTCAGAACTATCCAAACCACCTGGGCAAAACCCTTGGCACATACACACACTAGGACCCTGGGTGGATATCAGGGGGCGGTTCCCCATCGCTGAGTACTGGGACATTTGGAAAGCTGGGTGCGGCCTCTCCCTTTATCTCACCCCTTCCCCCAGAAAAAAAGAAGAAAAAATAGCAAATTTGGAAATAATTATTTCACCCACTTATCCCTAACCCTTGATCCCTCCACCTTGATCAATCATGTAATCAACATAATTTTTTTTAGTTTTTTTAAAGAGTAAAGACAGGCACTGTGGTACATCAGGTTAATCTCCTGCTTGCGAGTTCAAGTCCCAGCTACTCTGTTCCTGCTCCAGCTTCCTGCCAATGATCCTGAGAAAACATTAAAAGATGATCTAAGAGGCTCTGTGCAATGGCTCAGTGGCTAAATCCTTACCTTGCAAACACCAGGATCCTATATGAGCACCAGTTCCAATCCTGACATCTCCACTTCCAATCCAGCCCCCTGTTTATGGCCTGGGAAAATAGCAGAGGATGTCTCAGGTCCTTGGACCCCTGCACCCATGTAGCAGACCAGAAAGAAGTTTCTGGCTCTTGACTTTGGATCAGCTCAGCTCCAGCCATTACAATCATTTCAGAAGTGAAGCAGAGATGGAAGATTTTTCTATCTGTCTCTCTTCTGTAAATATACATTCTCAATTAAAAATATTTTTGGGGGGGGGCCCAGCGTGGTGGCGCAAGTGGTTAAGGTCCTCGCCTTGCACACCCGGGATCCCATATGGACGCCGGTTCTATCCCGGCAGCCCCGCTTCCCATCCAGCTCCCTGCCTGTGGCCCAGGAAAGCAGTCGAGGACGGCCCAAAGCTTTGGGACCCTGCACCCACATGGGAGACCCGGAAGAGGCTCCTGGCTTCAGATCGGCATAGCATCGGCCATTGCACTCACTTGGGGAGTGAATCATTGGACGGAAGATCTTCCTCTCTGTCTCTCCTCTCTGTATATCCGCCTTTCCAATAAAAAAAAAAAATAAAAAAATAAATCTTTAAAAAAATAAATATTTTTTAAATCATCATTGAGTATATGTGTTTCCACAATCTAACACCAATAATATATGCAATTAAAATAGTAACTGGGGCCCGGCAGTGTGGCCTAGTGGCTAAAGTCCTTGCCTTGAATGCGCCGGGATGCCATATGAGCACCAGTTCTAATCCCAGCAGCTCCAGTTCCCAACCAGCTCCCTGATTGTGGCCTGGGAAAGCAGTCAAGGAAGCCCAATGCTTTGGAATCCTGCCCCCACATGGGAGACCTGGAGGAACCTCCTGGCTCCTGGCTTCGGATCAGCACAGCACCAGCCGTTGCACTCACTTGGGGAGTGAATCATTGGATGGAAGATCTTCGTCTCTATCTCTCCTTCTCTCTGTATATCTGACTTTGTAATAAAAACAAATAAATCTTTAAAAAAGAA